TGATACTTATGGTGAAGACTATGACAGATCAAATAGGTCTGAAGGTTCAAGCTCAGAACAGAGGCTCACCAGAGAAGTTAAGGAGTTGAGAAGTGAATTAGACAAGCTGAAATTCACCACTCAGAAGCCAATACATTTTGTTGGAGAGTATGAGGAACCTTCTCAAATCTTTGAGAACATTAGTGAAGAAGGTCTTACCTAAGAGGAGCTCAACTACATTGGGAATCAGAGGTTCCAAAGATATCAGTATGGTAATGCCAATCCAAACCTTTCTTACAGGAACACCAATGTAGCTAACCCACAAGACCAGGTCTATCCCAATTCTCAAGCTCCAAAGAACTTTGTTCCCAAGAACAACTTTCAAGGGTCATTCCAACCCAAGAATCAATTTGGTCAGAATCAGAGTTTTGGTCAGCAACAGCAACCATTTCAGGGCACTGGTTACACTTCACAGCAGCCAAAGGCACCACCAGGGTTTGGTCCACCACAATTCCAACAGCAGGCGCCGGTTCAACAACAGTTTCAGCCACCAATGGTTCAACAACAGCCACAGATGGGTACAGATATGGTTGGTATTCTGCAACAACTACTTCAGGGTCAACAGACTATGCAGCAGGAAATCAAAGAACTGAAGCAAAACCAGGCATCAAGCTCAAGGAACCAAGGTCACCTACCTGGAAAACCAGAACCCAACCCCAAGGAATATGCCAAGGCCATTACACTGAGGAGTGGCAAGGAGTTACCTGGTATTGAGAACAACAAAGTGATCATCGAGGACAATGATCAACCTGAGGGGGAGGCAGCCTTAAAGGATGATCAAGTTGCTGAGAAACCAAGGACAGAAAAGGGTAAAGAGGTAGCAAAGGAACCAGAACCAGAGAAGAAGTATGTGCCACCACCTCCATACCAACCCAAGCTCCCATTTCCAGGGAGATTTAAGAAGCAACTAGTGAACAAGGCAAGAGCTGTATTTGAGAAGGCACTCAAAGAGACACCACTCACAATGCCTCTCATTGATGCATTCCTAATGATGCCAAAGATGGGTAAGTTCTTGAAGGATGCAATTCTGAACAAGACAAAAGAGCTTCAAGGCATGGTAGTACTAAGTCATGAATGCAGTGCTATCATTCAGAAGAAGTCCATCCCAAGGAAGTTAACTGATCCAGGGAGCTTCACACTCCCTTGTGCCATTGGACCTCTTCTATTCTCTGGATGTCTTTGTGATTTAGGAGCATCAGTCAGCTTGATGCCATTCTCCATAGCTAAGAAGTTGGGCTTTAGAGTTTTCAAACCCTCAAGGATTTCTCTTATCCTTGCAGATAGATCAGTTAGATTGCCTGTTGGTATGTTGGAAGATCTACCTCTCAAGATAGGTGGTTTTGAGGTTCCAACAGATTTTGTTGTGCTGGAAATGGATGAGGAACCAGTAGATCCTCTCATCTTGGGCAGGCCATTCTTAGCAACTGCAGGAGCCATCATTGATGTGAGAGGTGGGATAATAGAGCTTCAACTTGAGTCTGAAAGGCTCAAGTTTGATGTGAATGAGATGATGAAGAAACCCACCATTGAAGGTCAATGTTTCTATGTGGAGACAATGGACCAGTTGGCTGATGAGCTGCTTGAGGAGCTGAACACTGAGGATCCTCTTCAAGCTGCTCTAACTCAAGAACAAGGAGAGAATGAGCTCTTGGCTGAAGCAAGTGAAGGGTATAAGCTGTATCTGGACAATGCAAGAGAGCTGGGTCCTGAAACAAGGTTTTTGGAGCTGGAACAAAGAGGTTCTGAAGTCTTTGCTATCAAGGAATCAGTCATCAGCCAAAGCAACCTGGACCAGGACTGGAATGAGGCGGATGCACCCTCTGTTGAGCTCAAGCCTCTACCAACAGGGCTCAGGTATGCATTCTTAGGCCTAAACTCTACTTTTCCCGTGATCATAAATGATAACTTGCTGGAGCATGAGGAACGTGCATTACTTAGTGAAATAAGGAAATTCAGGAGAGCCATAGGGTATTCCTTGGCAGATATTAGAGGAATCTCTCCTGATATATGCACCCACAGGATCCACCTGGAGGACCAAGCCATGTCCTCTATTGAGCACCAACGTAGACTTAACCCCAACCTTAGGGAAGTGGTTAAGAAGGAGATACTAAAGCTTCTTGAGGCAGGGATAATTTACCCAATCTCTGACTCAAGATGGGTGTCTCCTGTTCACGTTGTGCCCAAGAAAGGTGGGATCACAGTGGTGAAAAACGATAAGGATGAACTCATAGCTCAAAGAACCATAACTGGCCATCGCATGTGCATTGACTATAGGAAATTGAATTCTGCTTCTAGAAAAGATCATTTCCCTTTACCATTCATTGATCAAATGCTTGAAAGGTTAGCTAATCATCCTTATTTTTGTTTTCTCGATGGGTACTCTGGATTTTTTCAAATTCCCATAGATCCAAGAGATCAAGAGAAAACAACATTCACATGCCCTTATGGCACTTATGCTTATAGGAGAATGCCCTTCGGTTTATGTAATGCACCAGCCACTTTTCAAAGATGTATGATGCACATTTTCTCTGACATTATTGAAGAGAAAGTTGAGGTGTTCATGGATGACTTTAGTGTCTATGGCTCCTCCTTCTCGGATTGTCTCTCTAATTTGACACAGGTGTTGGAGAGATGTGAGCAGCACAACTTGGTGCTGAACTGGGAGAAGTGTCATTTCATGGTGCAAGAAGGAATAGTCCTTGGGCACAAGATCTCTGAAAAGGGTATTGAGGTTGATAAGGCAAAGGTGGAGGTGATGGTGAATCTGCAAACCCCCACTTCAGTTAAAGGGATAAGGAGCTTCCTGGGTCATGCAGGGTTTTATAGAAGATTCATAAAGGACTTCTCAAGGATTGCCAGGCCCTTAACAAGACTGTTGTGTAAGGAAGTGGATTTCATCTTTGATGCTGAATGTGAAGAAGCCTTCAAGTTGATCAAGGAGGCATTGGTTAGTGCACCAATAGTTCAGGCACCAGACTGGTCTCTACCTTTTGAGGTCATGACAGATGCTTCTGACTTTGCTGTTGGAGCAGTACTTGGACAAAAGAAAGACAAGAAGCTGCATGTGATCTACTATGCCAGTAGAACACTTGACTCTGCCCAAGAAAAGTATGCTAGAACTGAAAAGGAAATGCTGGCAATAGTTTTTGCCTTTGATAAGTTCAGAAGCTACCTGGTGGGATCAAAGGTCATTGTGTATACTGATCATGCAGCCCTCAGGTACTTGATGACCAAGAAAGATGCCAAGCCAAGGCTGTTGAGATGGGTTTTATTGCTCCAAGAGTTTGATATGGAGGTGCTTGATAAAAAGGGGATTGAGAATGGTGCTGCAGACCATCTCTCAAGGCTGAGGATTGAAGAAAAAGTCCCCATAGATGATGCTTTGCCTGAAGAGTCTCTGATGGTGCTCCATTCCTACTTGGAATTTGAGGAAGTAGAGAGCATTCAAGAAAGGAGGATGCCTTGGTTTGCAGACATAGTGAACTATCTTGCATGTGGGGTGGAGCCTCCTGAATTGGATGCTTACAAGAGGAAAAAGTTCTTCAGAGATGTCCAGAGATACTATTGGGATGAGCCCTACCTCTATGTTCTGAACAAGGATCAGCTTTACAGAAGGTGTCTTGCTGAAGAGGAGATGCAACCTGTGTTGCAAGAATGTCATGGTTCTGCTTTTGGAGGTCACATGGGGGCATTCAAAACTGTGGCAAAGGTTCTTCAAAGTGGGTTTTGGTGGCCTACAATGTTCAAAGATGCCCAGTTGGTGGTCTCAGCATGTGATGCCTGTCAGAGGCATGGGAACATATCTAAGAGAAGTGAGATGCCTCAAAACCCCATTCTAGAGGTTGAGATCTTTGATTGCTGGGGGATTGACTTTATGGGCCTTTCATTTCATCCTATGGAAATCAATACATACTTGTTGCTGTGGACTATGTGTCCAAATGGGTTGAGGCAATTGCTTCCCCTACCAATGATTCCAAGGTTGTAGTGAGGCTGTTCAAGAACATCATCTTCCCAAGGTTTGGAGTTCCAAGGGTTGTCATCTCTGATGGAGGATCCCATTTTGTGAACAAGACTCTGGAAGGTTTATTGAGAAAGTATGGAGTTAAACACAAGATAGCTACTCCATATCATCCTCAAACTAGTGGCCAGGTTGAAGTATCCAATAGACAGATCAAGGCCATTCTTGAGAGGACTGTTAGCTCAAGCAGAAAGGATTGGAGCAAAAGGCTAGATGATGCATTATGGGCTTACAGGACTGCCTTCAAAACTCCAATTGGAACATCACCATTCAGTTTGCTATATGGGAAGAGCTGCCACCTTCCTATTGAGTTGGAGTACAAAGCTATGTGGGCTGTGAAGTTTATAAACTTTGATATCAAGACAGCTCAAGAGAAAAGGATCATGCAACTCCATGAACTTGAGGAGATTAGGCTTGAGGCTTTTGAAAGCTCAAAGATCTATAAGGAGAAAACCAAGGTTCTGCATGATCAAAAGATTCTGAAGAGAGAGTTCAAGCATGGTGATTTGGTCTTGCTTTACAACTCCAGACTTAAGTTGTTTCCAGGAAAGCTTAAGTCTAGGTGGTCTGGACCTTTCAAAGTTCTTGAAGTAAGGCCTTATGGTGCCATTGTCTTAGAAGGGAGGAATGGTCAGGAATTTGTGGTGAATGGACAGAGAATCAAGCATTACTTAGTTTCACAAGGGAAGGAGGAAGCTACATCAGTTTTCCTTCTTGATCCACCAGCCTGCTAATCAGGTTACCAAAGTCAAACTTAGAGACATTAAAAAAAGTGCTCTTGGGAGACACCCCAAGCTTATCCTTTGTAAATATGCTTTTGATCTTTTGATTCCTTTCTTTTTATGTTTTAGGATGTTTTTATGGGTTTGTTTAAGTGTCTACAGGTTATAGGTTTGAGTCTAAACCCTTGGAAAGTGAATGCATGATGAAAAGAGGTGAAGGAATGGAGGCAAGCTTGACTCGGCCGTTGACATGGGTACAGACCACGGTCGGAAACAAGGCGTGGCAAGCATCTTTGTGTTGCCACGGGGAGATAATCACGGTCTCAAGACCAGATCGTGGCAAAAAGATGAGTGATGTCCAGGGCTCGGGGTTTGCCACGATAAGTTGCCACGGGAAGAAGATGTGGCCGCGGCAAAGGAATGAAAGATGTCCAAGGCTCGGGATTTGCCACGAGGTACAAGACACGGGGTCAGAGCCTGGCCGTGGCACAGCAAATGGTGCACAACTCTGGTTCGGCCTTTGCCACGGTGGTAATGACACGAGATGGAAGGTGACCGTGGCAAAAGAAAAGAGGGCTAAGTTTTGATTCGGTTTTTGCCACGGCCACGAGACGCGGATAAACACTTGACCGTGGCAACACAAAGTTTAACAAAGGCATGGATTCGAGGTTTGCCACGGCTACAAGACACGGGCTAAAGGTTTGACCGTGGCAAAGATTTGGAGGGTTTGACCAAGAAATGAGCACTGCCACGAGGAGTTTGACACGGGAAACAACAGACCGTGGCAATAGAAAGGGAAGGAGACATAGCTCGGGTTCAAACCTCAGCAATTGAGGTAAACACTCAAAACCTTGTAAATAACATGTAGATCTTTCTTTTTCTTTTGCATTTTACCTGTTTACTTTGTTTTAAACTCCTTTCTCATGCTTTTATAACACAGGGGACTGTGTTATTTAAGTGTGGGGGAGGAGTTTCATCCTTTACTAATCATGTTTTCTCTTTTCTTATTTTACACTTTGAGTCTTGAGTCACATTTTAGTTGCATATTCATGTAGTCTCATCTAAGTGCATATAAAAACCAAAAAAAAATAAAAAATGACCATGTAGTTGCATTCTCAGTTTTTAGGATTGAGTCTAGATTGCATTTGCATATAGGTTGCATCTTGCAAGGAGTAATGATAGGTTTTCTAGAGAGTACATCACTTTGAGAACTTGAATTGAATATGCTTGTGAATCTTTTTCTGTGCTTGCAAAGTCTGAAATGATTTGAATCTGAGAAGCAAGTTTGAATTGAACTCAACTCTAATTAAGTGGGAACCTTGAACTTGACTTGAAAATATCTTGTGATGCATTGTTTGAAAAAAAAAAAGCTTGTGGATACCAATATACATACTTGAGCTAGAACCATTGTTTTTACCACTCTTTTCCTTAGCTCAAGTAGCTGAATCCACATCATGGATCAGTTCCCATACCTTGAACCCATCCTTCTTTCAAGCCAATGTTTGTGTGTGAATTGAAAGGCCACCTTGGATCAAACTTAGCAGAAAGTGTTAGGTTTAGAGCGACAAGGGCAGGTCTCATTGAGTGCTGTGTTCCAACATCAAGGAACTGAAAGTTTTGGCAAGGAATAAGTGTAGGGGAAAAGACTTTTTGGTGAGTGGAAAAAGGTGAGATGAGTAGGAAAGAGAGAGTGAAAATAGCTAGGGGAATGAAAGAAAAAGAAATCAGTCTTGGTGTTTTGAGAAAGTGAGCTCTGGTTTGTTGAAGAGAAAGAGTCTAACCTCTAAGTAAAAAAGGAAGAAAAGAAGCCAAAAGGCTCAAATGTTTTGTTAAGAAAGAAAGAAGAGGCTAGAAGTTGTAAAAGAAAAAGAGCTGTGTAAAGTTTGAGTTCCAAGACTTGAGAGGAAAAGTGAAAAGTAAATCCCCTAGTGAGAGGAAAATGAGAGTGAAAAGTGAGGATTTTTTTGCTTGAGGACAAGCAAAGGATAAGTGTGGGGGAGTTGATATATTCATAAATTGCATCATTTAATGTACATATTCTAGTCAAAATCATGTCTCATTTGCATGCATTTTAGGTCTTTAGGCATTGTTTTAAGACTTAGGAGATTGCATTAGGTCCAAGAGAGTTTTGCATGTTTTGGAGTGTTAAACAGGTGCTTTTGGAGCCAATTTGGAGTGGATGATGTGATTCAGATGAATAAATGGAGTTGGAATGATCAAAAATGGTGAAAAGGAGCAATTTTGGGTTTCTCGGCAAAATGGTGTACTGAAGGTCGAAGGTTCTCGACCAAAATCCTTCCCGCGGGTAGCTTTCTCGGCCAATAACACGTACCGCGGTCAAGTCTCTCGGCCAAAATCTCCGGGTGCAGACACGTTTCCGAAATCGCCTGTCCGGGGAACCTTCCGGTCAGATTTAGCTGTCGGAGTCTTCATAAAGGTTGGAGATAATTGAGTCAAGAGTTCATAACAGTTGGAATCAAGGCATTTGGACCACAGAACTGAAAGATATGGTAATCGGAAGACGAACAGGTCTCGCACTCATTCCGGAGCAATCCGATACCCCTGAATGATCGCCTGTCCGGGGAGCCTTCCGGTCCGATTCAGACGGCGGGTGCTTCATAGAAGTTGGAGAGCATTGCATCACGGTCTCTTAGCAAGTAGAATCGTGGAATTCGGACGCGTGAGCAGAGAGATAAGCTTGTCGGAAGGAACCCCAGTCTCGCAGGTATTCCGGACCGAGCAGATCAGTTCTAAAGGATGCGAAGGACGGTGCACTTCCAGGCCGATTTTGTTTCCGGGTCCTTCATGAGAACCATAGACATTTGAGCCTTCTTTCCAGAACGTCCAAGATCATTCAATTCGGATCTATGAGCAGAAAGATACAGTCTCCGGAATGGACACATGTCTAGACGCCTCTCTCTGGTCGTGTACATGCACTGCAAAGATGTGCCCTCCAGGAAGCCTTACACTTCCCAAGCACCGAAGCTTTCTTCACCAAAGTTGGAGATAAATGAGTCCTCTGTCTTCTGCAACCGAAATCATTCAATTCGGACAAGTCTCATAGGAGTTACACTCTCCGGAATGCGAAGTGGTCTAAGCTGCTCTGGATGCTGCGAGTTGGAGAGGAAGGAGACCAAGCCGCAGCAACACTCGCAAATCACTCCGACTTGAGCCTGCGACCTAGGTGCAATAGAGACCAACCCGCACAGTTTGTACATTCCCCAGAAACCGCCTTAGCCCTGCGAGTTGGAGAGGAAGGAGACCAAGCCGCAGCAGCACTCGCAAAACACTCCTACTTAGGCGTGCGGCTAAGACAAGGCGATTCAGGCTTCACAAGACAAGTCTTCATCTACTGCGACTTAGGTGTGCGACCTGGGACATACTGGACTGACCCGCAGGATTTCCACTTGACCCAACTGAGCCGGGTCAGTACCCAGTTTGTCCTGGGCTGACCCGGTCCATTAGCACTAGGTATATATAGTTTTTTGGGAGAAAAACCCAAGTATGTTATCTTCTACTTAGTTTTCTCTCTAGTTTTCTTTCCTTTTGAGGGTAAAAACGTTTTTGATTAAGAGATATCTGAAGGGATTTGATCATTCCAAGTCTGTTTCTTATCATCTCATCATCTCATTTCTACTTCTAATCATGATTAACATCATCTCTTGCAAAAGATTAGATGTGTTCTTCATGATTAGTGAGTAATCATCTTTTAAACTTCTAGGTGTGTAGATTAGGGTGCTTAGATGTTTGATTGGTGATGTTTAGGGTTTAGATTCTCATTCCATTTCCTTAGTTAGTTGCTCCTAATGCCAGATTTCCTTGGGAAAGTGAAATCTGGGTTCATAGGCATTTCATGCACCAAAAGTGTTTGATGAAATGCCTGAATGAGCTAACTTAAGGGTTTATGCCTTTTTCATCATGGGAATGATTTGTTAAATGCATGAATGACTTATTAGAACTGTTTCTTAATGCTCATTGATTCATATTTCACAAATGATGATTTGGTTTGAAAGTGGATTAGTGTAGAGATTAATGCCTTCATGAGAGGATTAGTCTAGATTAGAGTTCTAAGTTGAAATGTTTGAGATCATGTGATTGCTTGTTATGTCTTTCTGTATAAGATTCAGTCTTCTTGGTTGAGAGATTGTTTGGTCACTTATTAGGCTTGATGCATTATGCTTGCTGATTGCTTGATTATATCTAATGGTTGTTAGACTTGATTAAGTGATTTGCAAAGGGATTATTGTCATGGGAATGAATTAATCTGATTAAGAAGCCTAGACTAAAGAGTAGCAAGTGTTGCATTATGTTCTTAGCATCATGATTCAATATCTAAAGCACCCTAATCAATGATCACATCTAGAGGTTTAGCTTTTATCATTTGCTTAATCACCATCATCTTGTTTTGTTTGCTTGCTTAGTTCATTAATCATAGCTTGTTTGTTTCTTGTTTTATGCTTTCTTGTTGCTGGTTTCACAAAACTCATCTTTGATTACTTGACTTAAGAACCTATCACATAAACTAGTGCCTAACTACCACACATATGGATTGACACCCCTTATACTACTTTGACAAGGGGATTGATAACCCATCTAAGGCTTTAAAAACCTTAGTTATCAGTGATGAGTCTTTGCCCTTGTATGCATAGGTTGCTTTTTACCTTTAGCATTCTGCCAAAGTTTGATCATTCATAGAGAGATCCCTTTGCTGCATTAAACCCACTTGAGCACTGATTGAGATCATTTTAATCTCATAGCCTCTCCCTAGCCAAACCAGCTTGTTTAAACCTTGCATCATGAGATCCACCTGATAAAAGCTTAATGAATGTGAAAGGGTTGAGAGAGAGAAGAACTTGTGGAGATTCCTTGCTGAGTTGACATATATCTGAGTATGACTTTGCATTGCATAATTGAGCATGAACTTGAATTCTCATTGTGATCACTTCTCTCAAAAAGAAAATGTGAACTCCCATTGCATACAACCTCTTTCTCTCATTTGCTCTTTTTGCTTGAGGACAAGCAAAGGACAAGTGTGGGGGAGTTGATATGTTCATAATTTGCATCATTTAGGTTGCATAAATCATTCCAAATCATGTTTTATTTCATGCATTTTAGGTCCTTAGGGTTTGTTTTAGAACTTAGGAGATGCATTAGGTCCCAATGAGTCTTTGCATGTTTTGAGTGTCTATCAGGTGAATATGGAGCTGAAAAGATGAATCCAGGAGGTGGAATGGTGAGCAAAGCTTGAAAAGTGGAAAAATCGGGTCTTGGGAGGTTATCGGCCATTCTCGCTGGCCAGGAAGGTTTTACCGGCCTTTTTCATGTACCGCGGGAAGCTTTACCGGCCATTTTCATGTACCGCGAATGAAGTGTATCGGCCAAAATCTCCGGGTGTGAACGTGTCTCAGAAATCGCCTGTCCGGGGAGCCTTCCGGTCCGATTCGGATGGCGGGTGCTTCATAGAAGTTGGAGAAGACTTGATCACGGTTTCATAGCAATTGGAATCATGGGATTCGGACGCGTGAGCAGAGAGTTAAGCTCGTCGGAAGGA